TCCAGGAAACCAGAGTTTTCTGGTTCTGCAGAAACTACTTTGCCACTTACCCTCAGGGGCTCCATTATATCCAGTGTGACGTATTTTAGGTCAAGTTTGGATCTATTAGTACTTTTTTCAACTGTAACCTAATCTCTCATCTCTTACCCATGTCTTCCAAAGCAAAATAAGATTATTTCAGTAACTCAGACTTCTCCCTCCCAAATGAATTGAGAAAAGTCAATGAACAACACTTAAAAGTAACTTGCAGCGTTTGAAGTTAGTAGTGCCTTAAGTTTGAACTCCAATTCCAGCTGATGATACAAATTCAACAATACAGGGTCACAGTGTCAGACAAACAGAGATTCACTGCTGGAAGCAAGGTATGCCCAGTGCCAATTTACTCCTAGGTATGCTGCACATGGATTAGGATGCTCTCTTCTAAGGCTGGTTGGAATGACAGATGGCCTTCAGTGAATGGCAGAGTTGCTACGACAATACTGAATTTATTTCTCATTGCTCCCTCAAACTAGATGGCATAGACACACATTATGTTTTAAAGATTCTCTCTGCTAACATTCAGAACAAAAATTTCTAGATGCATTTTTCCAAGAAATATTTCCTTCAGAGTATTACTCAGAAGCAAATGATTTTCGTAATTTAATAACAGAATGGTTATTTAAATGAAGTCATTTTTTTGTGGAATGAAGTTTCTGAGATGTATTAATTCTAAATATATTTTATCTAGCCCAGTGATTTTTTTAACTAGAGTCCATATTCTCCTTCCTCCCCCAATACTTTGGCAATGTCTGGAGAGAATTTTGGTTGTCACCAAAGGGAGGGGTGCTACTGGCATCTAATGAGTATGGGCCACATAGTACCCCCCCACCATGACAAAGAATTATCAGGCCAAAAAAAAAAAGTCAATAACGCTGAGGTTGAGAAACCCTGATCTAACTTAATTAACCTGAAGTTTCCATAGCTTTGTATAGCAACTCAGTTGTAAAGGAGTTTAACTATGTGAGTTCGCCAAAATGCCAAAATCTGAAAAATCTACTCTTTCCTTCTTCTGACCCTCCCATTATTGTGTGAGGACCTCTTAAGTCTGACAAAACAGTATATTTGTTCTCTATATTCAAGGTCACCCATGATTTAGTTAAAGGGGATAGGAAACATAAGAAAATGCTCACTCTACCAGAAGCCATACTAGGTGTGTTCACATATATCTTATTTTTTCGTTGTAACTCAGGTTACTATCCTCGTATTATAGACAAAGAAACTAAGATTTGGAGAGGGTAATCAACTTGCTAAATATCGCACAGATGGTAAGTGACAACTCAGTGACTACTATTCCAAGTGAGAATAGTTAAAACTCATTAATACTTTCTCATATATGCAAGGAAAATTTCTGAATCACTAATGGTTGTACTACTCAAAGAAAACTTTGGCATCATTGATAGTTAATGGGATGAGGAGGGTAAGTAAATTTTCACCATATATTTTTCTGTATTAGAATTTTCAGTAAACACATATTACTTTCATTTGAAAACTAATAAATTAAAAAAGATTCAAATAAATCATTGACATACTTCTCAGATTAATTTTAGGATTAACCCTTGACAAAAGAACAAAGTAGGAGATGGTCCCAAGTGTATGTACCCAGTCTGTTGTTGTTGACCCAATTTCCCACTCAATGTCTCTATGCCAATACTTGTTTACTCATTCAGATCCCCAAAACAGATCTTATAACATTATTCACATCAAGATTTAATATGTTATTTCATGGTGTTCTCACTGAGAATATAGTATCAAAGACTGAAAGATTGACTCTGTGTTTATCTCTAATATCAGAATGGTAGAAGAGGTTTGGGGGCAAGACTCTTCTTCTCTTGTGGTCCTGAGACCTCACTCTGTATGTAACCATTTATTCAGGCAGTTCTTAAAGAGGGGTTCTGCCTTGTGAGGATGGGGCACTTAGTTGATTGAGCAGATCCAGTGACTGGCATGTGCATGAAGAGGCCCAAGTACATAAAAGTTTATGGCTTAACAGGCACCAAAAGACGCATATTTCCCCAAATAGTTTCTCTCCTACCTGATCTGAACCTCCCACCAAGAGGATCAATAAAGGCAAAGGGGTCCAATAGTGACCAATTTTTTATTGATTGTTCAATGCTAACCTTAGTAAGTCAGTGCAGTGAGGACACAATAAAATTCTTCATTAAGCTTTGGAAGTCAACCCTTCCAGAGCTAAGCTTCCTAATCTATGTAAGGACTGATCACATTCGTACTTTGAGAATTCCATCATACATCCATCCCCTTAAACTCCTTCCCAGCCCATGAACCCCAGCCATCTGCTAGAATGGCTAGAGTATAGGAGATCAATCAAGGATGAGAGGTTGATTTAACATGAGCAATGGTTCTGTATCCCACTGTAACTGGTTGAATTGTGTCCCCCAAAAAGATATCTTCAGGTCCTAACCCTTAGTACCTGTGAATGTGAACTTAAATGGAAATAGGGTCTTTGCAGATGTAATCAAGTTAAAATGAGGTCACACTGGACTGGAATGGACTCTAAGTCCAATGACTTGTGCCCTTATAAAAAGAGGGAGATTTGGACACACACACACACACACTGGTGACAGCCCTGTGGAGAGAAGCAGAAACTGGAATGATGCAGTTATAAGGCAAGGAATGGCAAAACTTGCCAGCAACCATCAGAAGCTAGGACGTGGCAAGGAAGGAATCTTCCCTAGAATTTTCAGAAGGAGTATGGCCCAGCCAACACCTTGATTTTAAACTAGTCTCCAGAATAGTGAGAAAATAAATTTCTGTTATTTTAAGCCATCTAGTTTATGATCATTTGTTACAGTTTTAGGAAATGAATACACCCAAAATCTCAGAGTGTCACATCACCATACGTTTTGACAAGGAAACAAAGAAAAATAAACAACACCCTGGTTATAGCTATATATTCAAATACTTAAGTAACAGTACACATGACCTTGTACTTGTCTCGTGACCTTTTCCACATGCTAGTTTAAAACTCCTTCTAGGAAAGAGGAAAGTATAAGTTTATTAGAAAGAATGGAGTCGACATGTATCATATGACCTCACTGATATGAGGAATTCTTAATCGCAGGAAACAAACTGAGGGTTGCTGGAGTGGGGGGTGGGGTGGGAGGGATGGGGTGACTGGGTGATAGACACTGGGGAGGGTATGTGCTCTGGTAAGTGCTGTGAATTGTGCAAGACTGCTGAATCTCAGATCTGTACCTCTGAAACAAATAATGCAATATATGTTAAGAAAAAAAGAAGAAGAAGAAGAAGAAGGTAGCAGGAGGGGAAGAATGAAGCGGGGGAAATCGGAGGGGTAGACGAACCATGAGAGACGATGGACTCTGAAAAACAAACTGAGGGTTCTAGAGGGGAGGGGGGTGGGAGGATGGGTTAGCCTGGTGGTGGGTATTGAGGAGGGCACATTCTGCATGGAGCACTGGGTGTTGTGCACAAACAATGAATCATGGAACACTTCATCTAAAACTAATGATGTAATGTATGGGGATTAACATAAGAATAAAAAAAAAGAAAGAAAGAAAGAATGGAGTCTAGCAAGGATGGAAACAAAGAGGAGACTCTTGGTCCTAACTTCTAAGTTATATTCAGCCTATACCAAATAAACGTATGAATGGAAATAACTTTTTAAATTTATTCTAAAACTGTTACCAAAGACCCTGCCCACTCTGCTACTCATTTGTTCCTTTACAGTTCTCATGTTAAAAAAAAAAAAAAAAAAAGAACTTTCAGAATGTGGCACTGGGAAAATATGGTCATCTCTTTTTAAAAAATGGCATGTTTCATTCATTCATCAGATAATCAGAATTTCTCACCCAGCGTACTACAACAGCCTCTCAACTGGTCTCCCTGTTTCCATTCTTAACTTCCTGCAGTCCGTTCTTGCAGATTAGCAGAACAATCCTTTTATATGTAAATCAGACCATGTTTCTGCCCTGGACAAAACCCATCTGGGGATTCCTATCACCCTCAGAATAAAATGCAAATCCTTTCCAGGGCTGACAAAGTCTAGCATGTTCCACCCCAGGCTATCACTTTACTTCATGTCCCACGGCTCTTCCTTCTCTCACACTACTCATGTCACATGGGTCTCCTTGTTCCTGGTACTCTCTACGGACCACTACACGCACTCCACTCACCCCTGCTACCCGGACGCTCGGCCCCCCACTCTTCACCTGGCCTGCACCATGCCTTCACTGAGGTCTCCCTCAAGTGTCACTTCCTCACAGTCCTTTCCACCCCGTCTAAAAGAACACCCTCTAACTCCCTACTTAACTTGCTTCTATTTCTCTCACGGCTTTTATTCACCTCCTGATATTACTGACATTACATTGTCTATTTAATTGCTGATCTCGTCGTTGTCTGTGCTCCCTCCTCCCAGCATGGGCTCTATGAGAGCAGGGATTTTGGTCCGGTTTGTTCACTGTTGTGCCGAGAACAGTGTCTACTATAGAATAAGCACTTGATACATAATTTGGTGAACCAAAAAAGAAACGAATGCATTTTGTAAGTTGCTTTGTTTTATTTTTTGCCTTGGCTGACAGGAAACTTAGTCATAAATTCAATGGTGAGTCATAGTAATACAGTAGCCTTCATCACGAGCATATATGCTTCTTCCTTCTTTTTAAATATTCTGATGTTCTATTCCTCTTCTAGTCACCTCATATCCCCTTTATAAAACATTTTAAATCTTTCATAATGGGACACAAAGGCCCCAGTGGGCAGGTAGGGTGGGTGCCAGGTTGGGTGCGTGGGAGGCAGCCCCGCAGGAAGTGGGAGAGGGCGTATGTATTCATCCGCAGTAATGCTTGAATGTGACACAAAACAGCCCTCAGGCCAGAAACCCAAACCTCTGGCTGCCTGGGGGGCGGGGGGGGGGGGGGGGGGAGCCAGATGAGAATGAGCCAGTGGGTCTAGCAGAGCCAGTGAAGGAGGGAAGCAAATTTTACCTTTTCATTCCTGCAGTTGTTCAGCCCCATATTATTCACGGAGGACAGTTTCCCATCCACACCATGCGGCTGGTGCTGCTGTTGTTCCCGCTGGATCTGTTCGCGCATCTTCCGAGCCTCCTGAATGGCTTTCATCACTGTGTCCTGATCGCCAAACAGGGCGGGGGAGTTGAGACTGGACAGGATATCTGCATACACAGGACGCATCATCAGAAGCTGACGAGACTAGATGCTAACAAAATACTGCCACCTTCCACTCCCCTGTAGAATGCTGCCTTCTCCGAACAAGAAAGGGGCGTGTTTGCTCTTGGGAAAACTGCAGGACTCTACATAGAGCCCCGGGGAAACCAGGATGTGCTGGCCTCTTAGCCGCTGGAGGACAGCCCAGCACACCAGTTAATCGGGGCCCTGTCCCCTTACCTCCTCGCAGAGGAAGGTTCCGAGATTCCAATTGCCCACTCTGTGTGTGTGTGTATGTGTGTGTGTGTTCTGGTGAGATTCAACAATTAGTGGGGGAGTAGTAGGCAAGAAGGGGGTAAGGAGAGGTACAGAGATATCTGTGCTGCTGGGTATACTAATACAGGAAAGCTGGTTCTGGCCTAGCAGAAAAAATTCTGGGCGGCTACATGTGTACTACGGTGACATCTTTATCTGTGTGTTCGTATGTCCACTGCAGGAGAGAGGGGGTGGGAAGGAATACACTGCACTCTGCGTTCCCCAATCACTGGCTGGCTAATGAAGCATTCTACTCATCATGCTGCCTCAGTTATTTACCAAGAGAATGACAACCCATTCCCTACCCCCAGCCGAACACCTAGGGCTCTCAGCTCCCTGTCTTCCTGATAGGGAGGTTGTATGTGCAGGCATCGTTTTCACATCAGTACAAAGCTTCAAATAAAGTGAGAATAAATGTTTACTTTCATTATATTCCATACAACTCAGAGGGAAAAAAAATAAAATTAAGCTGACCAATTCTCTTCCGTATCTTGCATTTTACTGTAGGTTAAAATTAATACTTTACATAAGCTTTTCCCATTTTTAGACTGAAAGAAGGCAATTGCTTGCTGAGTGATCGATTTCAGCTCCTGTGGTAAAGTTTAATGTGATCCCTTTGTTTGTATCCTGGTATGAACATTTCATGGCACATGTATGTGTATGCACACGCATACACCTCAGACAGGACAGAGGAAACCAGGCCAGAGTCAAGTTCATACCATGCATGTGTGTGTGTGTGTGTGTGCAGTGCACGTGCATATGCATGAGTTTAGAAAGAATTCCCAAGGCTTTCTAGAGTAAATTGTTTAACAGTCAAACAATCGCTTCTTAGGATGTAGAAAACCTCTTAGCTTTTGCTCTGGAGCTTTTCTGATAAAAAACAAACAGAACATTTCTATCCAATACCGTCTGGACAAAATTGTGATTGCTTCAGCCCATTTCTAGCTTATGATCTAAGAAATATGTTCTGCTCAAGTATATACTCCATAAGAGCGGGGCCTGTGAATTGTCATCTTTGTCCCTCATGATGCCCAGTATAGCAAACACTCTCCAAACAAAATTCAGAACTGGATAATGAGAAGGCCAATAAAGCCATTTCAAGATCAAGCCTATTATTTATCCTTGAATTGGCTTTTTTTCTTATCTCACAACTTCCAACAATCTAGCAACCATATTCACATACTGGAAATGATTCACTTCTCTCTCCCACACGAGTATCACTGACTTGGAGTGAAAACCTCCTGGCCCCCTGCAGAGGCATCCAGACTCAAAATGAGAATAGGCTGCTGTATGGATCCTAATGTCCCAAATTTTAACGAGGAAGGGGTATATCTCACCATCAGAAGATTCACTTAAACCCAACACAGTGCGGCAAACACTCCAACTGTGAGTTCACAAGAGAGAGCACCGAGTTTATATAACTCAGGCGAGAGGACCCAGATTGTAGTCTTGGCTTACTTATTACTTATTACTTATTAATGGCTACATGGCCTTGGGCAAGCCGTTTTACCTGTAAGAATCATTTTACTTCATCATACGATGAGGGTAATAATGCACCACGTCATACGATGATTGTGAAAAATCAAATGAGATAAGATAGGCAAAAACGCTTTTCAACTGTAAATGGCTACACTTACATACTACTTTGTTTATTATAATAAGCATTTCAGGCTCCAGGACTCAATAAGGCAAGAAAGGTAATGTGGTGAAGAAACATAGTTCTCAGTCCCCAATCCCTTGTTATCTCTGTGTCTTATATGAAAATTAAGAGGCTTAGTAACAACATGTTAATACTTCCTTGGCACTCTGCTACCGACAAATGCTTTCACGTTTATTGTTCTATTCCACGTGTATATGTAAATGTGGTGGTATTGGTTCAGTCTAGTTTTTTTTTTTAATTATATGCCTTCTAGGTGCCAGAGACTGGGTTAGGCATTTTATATGCATTTTTTCTCTCCGGATTCTCATAACAACCTATGAGCTAGGTAATAATATTCCCCTCTAAGAGATTAGGAAACTGAGTTCAAAAATATTAAATAACTTTCCCAGGGTCACATAGCGAGTATGTGAAGGCTCTGAGTCCAAGTGTGTCTGATGCCAAAACCCATGTTTTCCCTCTTTACTTTTCACTGGGGTATGAACGTCCCTAGAGATACTTGGCACCATATCAGAGAGTGTAAGAAGCCCGAAGATCATGATGACATATCTTATCAGATATCAATTTTATTTCATACTATGTCATTGAAGTGTGTCATTCACATTTGTTTTAATGCAAAGCTAATATGGGATAAGATGTAAAATTCACATACATTTTAAAAAGAAAATATAAAACTTCAAAGAAATTTTGGACTTTTGGCAGGCAGCTTGGAGGCCAGGTCCCTTTAGCCCCTTGGAGGCTCTTGTCTGCCTAGAGTTACTTCAGTGGCAAAGCATTAACCAAACACAGAAATCCCCAAGTCTCTGATCTGCTGGATCTAACTCAGCAGTCTCTAAAGAACCCACCCCAGCAGGATTTATATTATGACCTTTTCCAAAAGTTCTAACCACCCAAGACACCGAAAGGAGTTTTGTTTTCAGTAGAAAGGATTTTACTTTTACTTTTTTTTTTTTTTTCTTGGACGAAGGAACACTTTGGAAACAGGGATCAGTCATCACTGGACAGGTTTGCTTTCTTTTACCTAATTCATAAATCTCTTCCTGTTGTTGACATTTCCATTTACCTAAAGAGGATCCTCTTCCCAAGCTTCCTCCAATGGGGCTGGGGATGCTGCTTTTGTTAGGCAGATTAACGGGGCTGGTTTTGCTGGCTGGGAAGAGGCTCTGGGTGGGAGACGTTGGGGACTTCACAGGCTCAGCTGTCTTGGGTCTGGAAGAGAGATTTAGCGGCTGCGCTGCTGCTTCATCCTACAAGAGTTTAACATAAATAATTATTAAAAAAAAAAAAGACAAATGAAGCACATTATCACTTAGTAAGCCACCGTTATTTTACACCTCAGAGACAATGCCACATTCTCCTACAATAATAACAAAAGAAGCTAATTATCTACCTCCTTGAAGATTCATCGGAAGGAAACCTCATTAATTTCCCTGTGTTATGCTTCTATTTACATTAACTGTGTAGTTGGATCATTCTTTTTGCCAAATTAAAATCTGAATTAGCTCACATTACAGCTTAATTTCCTAATGTGTTTTCAAGGATCTAAATTAACCTAGGGCATTTACAAAGAATTATTTAAAATTTCAGCAGCTCTGTAGTGCTTTTGTGTTATTCTCTCTGAAAAGTTCCTGCAACTATAAATAGGCTCTGCAGCTAATTTTTTAATATATATTTTAAATCAAACAATTGCAAGTACTTTAAAAATGGAAACACCGGCTTCTTCTGCTCTCCTGGGCCTCTGCCCAGGGAGCCACATGCCACAGCATGGTTTCTATGTGGCTTTCTGGGTGTGGACACTCCTCATGGTCTATATTCTGGTCTCTATTCAGGTTTAAAATTAATTTTTGCAAAGAGCAAGCACACATTATAATTATGTTTTACATACCATGCTATATGTAATTTATTTTTCGTGTCTAAAGTGATGTCTCTTTATAAAATTCTTTGCTGTGTATATTTACAGAATGTCTATTTTAAGATGCCTGTTCTTCTATACTGGGCACAGTATTCAAGTATCTGACTTGTAACTCTAGTGTAACCAGGAGCTTGAAAGCTAAACTCCTTGCCTTTATTTTGTCTCATTTATCCTGTCATTAAACACATATAACAACATGCCCATCATTTTAGAAATTAAGTTGTAATATAAACATATTCATTTAAATGTTCAGTTTTAAGATCTATATTATTGTGTTCTACAATAAAATTGTCAGCAAGTGTTAATTTCTCTTTTGCTTCTGAGAAGGCATGGAGAATGTTTTTAATGTCATTTTTTAAAACACAATAGAGCTTGGAAACAGAACATCCTCCTCCCCTTTGGGAAGAGAGCCTGATCCTACCTGATCTCTAAGGTCTCCCCTAGTATCGTGGTCATTGTTTAAGGGGGGGACAAAAAGAGATGCCAGAAAAGGCTACTCCGGAGGATGATTAGAAAGAGAAAATAGAAACAACACGCACAAAAAGCCAGTATATACACCAAGGATTGTGCTAGACATTTTCACATATATTAGCTCATTTAACTAGCAGTAAGTCTATCAGGTTGGGCAGTATTATTCTAAATTCACAAAGAAGGAAGGGTCAGAGTGATAAAATCATTGTTCAAAGCCATACATGGAAGGACAACATGTGAATTCTAGTTTACTGGACTCCAAATCCCAGGTCCCTTTTCTATTAAACTATCAGAGAAAATAAGTCATTTGATAATGTAGTGAATTTTTTTTTTCTTGGTAGGAAATAGATAATCTGGCACATCTCTGTTGCAATGTACATTTGTCTATATCTAGACATAGGAGGGGGTCTCAGGAAACACGACTGCATCATTATGCATGTCAAAATGTCTTCTGAGGGGCACCTGGGTGGCTCAGTTGTTAAGCGTCTGCCTTTGGCTCAGGTCATGATCCCAGGGTCCTGGGATCGAGCCCCGCATCGGGCTCCCTGCTCCACAGGAAGCCTGCTTCTCTCTCTCCCACTCCCCCTGCTTGTGTTCCCTCTCTAGCTGTGTCTCTCTCTGTCAAATAAATAAATAAATAAATAAATAAATCTTTTAAAAAAAGTCTTCTGTGCTTGATTACAATTTACTTCTCTTTACTCTGTACTCAAAGGATATTTAGACTAATTAGTTCCTTTACTCCTATCTAAATAATAGTTATTTATATACTAGGTATATAGTTTTCTCCATGTTTCTTTTATTTGAGGTTCACTGAGGTTCTTAGGTATCTGAGTTCAGACTGTTCTTCAAAGTTGGAAAATTTTCAGCCATTACTTCCTCAAATATATTTTTCTGTTCCTTCCTTTTCCTTCTGAGGCTCTGGGTGCATACATTAGGCCAGCTGATGTCCCACAGTACTGACAGGCTTCTTTCTATGTACTTCATTTTGGATAGTTTCATCATTCTGTCATCAAGTTCACTAATCTTTCCTTCTCTGATGTCTAATCCCATCAGTACTAGTCCAGTATACTTTTCAACTCAAAAACTATATTTCTCATCTCCAGACATTCCGTGGATGTGTTCCACGTCTTGCCTTATAATGCTCATGTTTCCCTCTATCTTCTTAAATATACAGAGCTTATAGCATCTATTTTTTTCAGCTTTGACTATACCCCAATTATTTATTTTTATAATTCAATGATTGCAACTTCTGCTAACAATGCCACTGGGCATGGGAAGCATCTACCAATTCTTTTTCACCATGGCAGGCCCGATATTGGTTCTCACGGCATGCCCTGGCCTGAAAGAAATTTCGTGGGTGTGTTTTAGGAGGAAGATTTGCCTACCTCTTCATTTGGCTATAGTTGGCTGACCCTGTAGTAGCTGTTCTTACTGTCTTAACTACTAATTCTATCATCTGTGCCATTTTGGGGTCTGTTTCTATTGATTGACTTTTCTCCTCATTATTGTTCATATTCTCTTGCTTCTACAGAAGCCTGGTAATTACTGAACGGATGCTACACACTATGAATTTTACATTGCTGGGTGTCGGAGTTCATGTATTCTTCCAAATATTTGTGGACTTTCTTCTGAGACACAGAAAAATTTGGTCCTTTCTAGGCTTGCTTTTAAGCTTGTGAGGTAGGTTCAGAGAAGCCATTAATCTAGGGGTAATTTGGCCCCATTACTGAGGTAACACCCTTTGGGCAACACTACTTGATACCCCGTATGTCAGGAGATCTTTCCACCCTGGCTAATGGGAAAACAAACCACTCTCAGTCCTTTGTGAACCTTGCAATTGCTTTGCCTGCTACATCTGGTATTCTCCCCTGGCCTCAGAGTTTCCTCATATGCATATGCTGATCAATATTCAGCTAAATACAGGGGAATCTTCTACAGATTTTCAGTACTGTCCCTCTGTGTGCAGCTCTCTCCTCTCTGGTACTCTACCTCACAAATTCTAGCTACCCTGGCATCCCAAAACTCTGAACTCTATGTCTCTACTCAGGGAGCCCGCCATGTTCCATGTGGGTAGCCTTCCTTGCACTATGACCTAGAAACTACCTCTAGACAGTAAGCTGGAATAATCGTAGTACTTGCCTCAGTTGTTTCTCTTCTCTCAGGAATCACTGTCCTATATTCCTATTGCAAATGTCTGAGAATCATTGTTTTATATATTTTGTCCTATGTTTCAGTTGCTTAAGCTGGGAGACTAAATCTGATCCCGGTTCCTCCACTGTAGCTGAACATGGAAATCCTCTAGGTATTCAGTTAGGCTCTCTCTTGGTATACAACTGGATATTTCCATTACAACCACTACCACCAACACCACCATCATCTTCTTTATTACCATCAGATCATCATCATCACAGTCACTATACTTACATTATGGAGTGAATACTATCTGCTAGAGGATTTAAGACTCATAATATTAACTCCCATTTTTCAGAGCAGAAAACTAAGGCTGAAAGAAGTTAAGTAACTTGCCCAAAGTGACACAGATGGTAAAAGTGGTAGAACTGAAATTTGAACAACAACAACAACAAAAACCATTCTAAGTTCTGATGTTGATAAATTACAGTAGATAAAAATTCTGAGGGAAAGAAGGTATGTAAGACCATCTATGTTTAATTTTGTTACCTTCAGCAAGCTATGCCCTATGTCATGTGGTCACATTATATACAGAGGAAAAGCAATGATTACAGAGAGAATCATATTTTAGTAACCATAATCCTTGCAATTACCAATTCATTAGATTATTCTCAGAACTTCTTTAATAATAGGTAGCAGCTATTTTTTTTTAATTTAAAACATTTGCTTTATGCCTTGATCTATATATTTTTACCCACACATACAATAAACAATATAATAAGTATAAAGAATGTTTCCTTTGTTATTAACATAAAATATAGTCAAGTCAAATTATATAGAGAACTCCCTAAGAATTTGCATGTGGTCAAGTGAGTAATAAAACTCAGTTGGCCCACAAAGCTGGAATGGTAAAAGCAGATGTAAACTTGAATTTAACCAGGGAACATTTTACTCATCAAGTAAAGGCTTGGTTTGGTGCAGTTCCATTTGGCCAACTCACTTATAAAATGACTTTTTCACGTTAAATATCTAATATTCAATACCTCAAGTCAATAATGTTTGATATGTCCATATTCTAACAACTATAATTAAACAAAGTGCTTTGGTTTGAGTTGTAGTGTTCTGACTCTTATTCACAAACAGAAACTTTTGGAACACAAAATAGATAGCCTGTTTCCATAAGTCATGCTACCTTATTAAATGTAAGCTGCCTATTGTCATACCTCAATTTTCTAACAACAAAGCATAGATGTTCATCTATTTCTTTGGAGAATTTAAAGCATGGGCAGCATTAAATTAATTCCTATCTGCACATTATAGAACATAAAACAATTTCAGGGGTTTTGCAGCATTTGATGCTGTTTTGTTGGCCTTAGATGTTTCCCTTGTGAAAATTTAATAACTGCAAATTTTCTCCAAATGTAGTACTCTAGGCACATTACAGTAATACCTCTGTGCTTAGCCTATCCCTCTAGGTGGGCAAGTGAATGATACAAAACAATTGTTTCTCTGAACTATATTATAAAAACCAACCAGTACCACCTATAGGTACCAGCTGCAGCACAAAGTTGGAGCATATCACCCATTTCCCTCTGTCGCCAAATACTTCCTAGGTGCCACGTTTTAAGGCGCTGAAAATTAGTGAGGAGAGGCATCTATCAATGTCCCAGCCATAACTTGGAGGAGCCTGTTTATCCTCTCACAACGACCTGGCATCAAAGGATGAATAGACAATGACACCACTCATTCCTCAGAGCCCACATTAACTATTCTTGAAGGAGAGACCTTTATCAACAAACCATATGAAGTTCAGCAGTAGATTCTTTTCTGTCCCCCTTTTTTTTTAATCTAAAGTTTTGAGAACCTCCTGTTCTGGTCCTATAAGTTGGCTCCCACCTGTTTAAGGAACTTCGAGAGAAAGTGTCACAAGTCCATGGCAAAAACTGGAAGTAAAACCATGGCCACTCATGACAGTGAACATTAAAAAATAAAAGCCAGAATCCAAAGGGGAAAAGCTCCTGAGAAGTGAATTTGCAGATTTAGGTAAAGATCTCACAATATGGCACTATTGTCATCAAAAGGGAAACAACTGTTTCTCAGTGCTCAATCATGAAATTGACCATAAAGAGGAGCATTTGGGGTTCCTCTATGCTGCTATGCTTCCTGCTGCTTATTCCCACCCCAGCCTGGTTTGCTACTTCTCTTGTGACGCTGTTTTCCAAACTGTTTTCACAATCCTGCAAAGCAAGTACCTTAACTTGAGTTACAGGGCTGGTCCCTCTCTTTTCATTTTTTATCCCGGTAGGTGAGACTGCCCCTGCTGGGTTTGGTGGCTGTGGAGCTGACGGCATCTTTGCTCCAGGTGACACCTGCATGCTGGCCAGCTGAGCGGCATAGAGCTGCTGCAAAACAGGGAAGACAAACATTATCTTTTTAAAGGCAGCTGAAATTGAGTTTTGCAAAAAAACAAAACACAACAAAAAACTTACTGTATTGTTAGATAACTATTTCTCTGCCAGCCTTACAATTTCTCTTTCACTATTTTTTAAAGAGGAAATAAGAGAGACCAAATAATATAAAGAAAGGGTACTAGCATGAGAGCCACTGTCCTGTTGCTGGTCCTTCTAGCAATGACTCTATGAACCTGAACAAAGGGTTTGGGTGCTCTAGAACTCAGTTTCCTCGGTACAAAAAGAAATTTGACTAAATGGTTTCTATGATTCTTTCTAGTGCCTAAAATTGTTATAAGAAGTTCTTCAAATGTCAGTACGTCCATTCATATAATTTTAATATTCATGAACTAACTAACGAATCTGAACTTTCCTAGGGATTCCTGGAAGAACATTGTTCTTATTCAATACTGACCAAGCTTCTCTTGGGGATGCTGATCCTTCTGGATGATAAGAATGCTGGCCTCAAGATCCCCGAGGCTCAACAGCAGTCACTGTTTTCTTGAGGTCTTATTTTAGGCAGCATATAACATAATCCTCAAGATAATATAGCCAGATTCTTGACCAAAAAATGAAATGAAATGAAATGGAATGAAATTAAATGAATAAAGCTTCTTTTTCCTAGCACAGGATGTTAAATCTTTAACTGTTGATCTATTAGCTTTTGGGTGGAATTGGTAATAAATGAATGTGTTAATCTGCTATGGTTAACCAGGATTCAGATACCTCAATCTTCACACTATTTAATACCTGGAAACTCCATTCAAATATTTTCTTTTCTTCTTATAATCAAGATTAAGCCATTACCTTGATAGTCATATTTCTATCATAATAAATAGAAAGCTTCCTAGTTCATCAACCACAGGGAAAATAGCTCAAACTTTGCCATATTAGTAAGGGAAAAAAACAGGTGGTTTGTATGTAATTTCCAGCATTACTATCATTCAGATGGACAAATAAAAAAAATTACAGTAATCAAAAACAGACCTTTCAGCACATGTAATTAAATGAAAGCTTAATAAAGAATAATTTGCAAGAGCCAGATGTGCTTATGTCATGATTGTTGCTTTCTTTGGAACAATTTTTCTAATATAACAAGCCTCTAAAGAAATTAAAGTTTCATAATTCTGTATGTGCAATGACTCAGTGGCAAGAAAAATTCACAAGTAAGAGTCAGTCAAACTGCTAGAACTTGGGGAGAAAAGGCTACCTCTTCTGTTTCCTTTTTACTCTGTGGTATCCTTTTCCTCTGAAATTCAGCCAGGTATCTCCAAAGGGGGGGCAAGTGAAGCTTCTGAAATTTTTCTGCTTGGATAAAACCACTGAAGAAAAGTTTTATACTGAATGGAGTGAAGATGGTTGAGAGCTGAAAAAGCGTCGGCCACACAGTATCTGGTGTCGTGACCAATATGCCCTCCTACTGAGTATTAAAGAGTCATCAAATCTGAGAGAGGCAAGAGTCCTTAGGTATCATTTATGCCTTCATTTTCCCTCAGTAATTCACAAGATCAGAAGAAAGTCAATTTTACTCAATTTTGACTCCTCCAGGGAACTTCAACTAGTGAAAAGACACAGAAAAAGAAATCCTTGGGAACTAATCTGTTTTTTAAAAAGCTGACTAAATTCAGAAAGCCTTCAGATTGAACAATACAGTTGTTTTTTTCTTTTTAGAAATAATATTAATTGCTTCCTCTAAAGCTTTGAAAAGCATTTATTTCATATCCCTTTCTAGTGGTTTGTACCTAACAGAGGAAAGACCCCAGAAATGCTGAGATTCCTCAGAGTTCCCCGTGAGCTGTGATCACTGGTCGTGGCAAGAAGCAGCATCGCCACACTTACAGAGCTGGGTCAACTGGACAGTAGGATATCAGACAAGATGGAGTAGAATAAGCCTTGAAATAAAAATCAGAAAACAGAGCCCAATGTAAAGATAGAAGGCGCTCACGAAGGTAAAAATTGTCACATCCTAACAAAATACATAATTTTAGATGTAAGTACCATGCTTCAAACTCAAGACTTCAGATCTGACCTAGAAAAAAAGAATGCCATTCACTGAATAGGTGCAGGTTTACCAAATGATTTCACAGACAGCTCATCTTCTAAGCTAACATTAACTGAATATGTTCTATATGCAAGTCTCTGTGTTAGAAACTGTGGAGGATTCAAAGTCTTGGAACAAGCACATAGCTTTGGAGAAGATGTAAGATATAGATCCTGAACACGTGATGTGCACCTTTTTTGTGGCACTTATCACTTTTTTTAAACCTGTGTTTAGTTGCACACATATGTCTTATCATGCTGGATAGACCATAAGCTTACTGAAGTCATGATCCACCTGATTATTTGAATGCCTAGCAGCAAGAATAGTGCCTTGCAAATAAAAGATAACCAATCAATATCTTCTGAATTAACATACTATACAAAATCACTGGATGTTAGGAAGGAGAGATATTCTCTATAAATGAGGCAACAGAAGTGGTTGGTATATGATGATATTTATCATATATGATGAATAATTTTATGCTCCTGAGTTAAAAAAAAAAAGGAAAATAAACCCAGCCCAAATTAAATCACACTGTTTCACAAGACATTAATCTTTTGAAGTCATTTGTTAAAATATTAACTAGAAAGCTTTTCGATAACTGCTAGCTTCAGTCACCTGTCTCAAACTTTTCTGACACAAATTCTACTGTTGAGTAGCAACTGAGGGGGTAGTACCAATTTTTCTTCTCAGCCTAGTTACTTATTTAGTTTCTCTAAATGCTATGGCATCCTTTTTTGGAAGAACATAAAATATGAGTTATTCAAATAAATAGCTTTAGTTCAAAAACTCCTTTGCAGGCTAATGGTTTGGGAAAGAGAAAGGTTAAACTCTGATAAACTACTGCATGAGGGTTTACAAAAGTGTCATTCCACATAGGATTCTGAGATCATAGTTCATAGTCACAATGATGATGATGAATATTCATTTCCAAACACAGTTGAGGTTTATAAAACCAACAATGTAGTAAAGCTTGTAACAGGCTTAGCCAGAGTCTCACAAACATTTAAACTTTGGTGAAGACTGTTTCTGTAAATATAGATTTTTTCCATTTCAATTTTGAAAAATGTTCAGTGATTGTTTGGGATATTGTTTCTTTGTCCAAGATACATAAAAGACATGCAGTGCATACATGTAAAAAATGAGCCTAGCTAAATATTTTTTCAAAATTATAAAATCACACATATTTTATAGGAGCATTTTCAGAAATGCTTTTATTATTTTATGGCTAAAAATACTCCACCTTTATTATTATTAGTTCAGGTTTAATAAAGTAGCCAGTACTAAGATTTTGGTACATTGAAAAATGCCACACTTAGCCCCAGAACTGAAAGGGTCTTACCAGATCATTTAGTCTAGTCTTACCGCCTCCTTCTACTGATGAGTGGAGGACTATAGAAAAGCAGTGCCGTGCTCAAGACGGCATAACTAGTTAGCATTGGTATTAGAAGAATACTCTAGCTCTCATTTCGACATTACCATTTAAAGTAGAAATGACTATATGATGAACCAACCATTGTACCCTGCAGGGACATTTCCAGCATTGATGAATTTGTTCAATGGCAACTCTTTATCAAATGCTTACTATTACCTAAACATTATGCTAAATACCAGAGGTGCAACAGCAAGCAGCTCTGAAATAGCCCATGCCTTAATGGAGCTAGAAAGTATAACTGATATTAAATAAATGCTTAGACAGTAACTATGAACTATGGTTAGGCTGAGTGCTGAGAAAGAAAAATACAGAATGTCAAAAGAACATCGAACAAAGGTATTTAACATAGTCTGGAGAATCAAAATAGCTTCTCTAAGGAAGTAATACTTTAAGTAAGAATTATCCAGGTGGAAAGGCTATAAAGAACATTCCAGAAAAAAGAACACTGATCATTATGGCTCTGAGGTAGAAAAGAAGATAACATTTTAAGAAACTCAAAAAGGGCCAACATGGCGGGACTATTGAGTAAGGGTGGAGTGGCATAAGAAGAGACCAGAGAGGGGTAGAGTCTTAATAGGTCACATTAATCATTTTAGACTTTAACCCTCAAAAAAGAAGGATCTAGAAAAAGCGATGAACTAAAACTAAGACACCTAGAATCTTTCCCATGCTTTACCACTAACTCATTGACCAATCTTTTAAATGAATTAGATTAAGAAAGTCCTATGAAGAGCTCACAAATCCATAAATATATACCTCTAATACTGTTTCTAGAGTTGTGTGTCCTGAGACTAGCCTTAAAGAAAAACCTATCTTGCATTCGGATCCTAGTGATACTTTAATAACTAGGCCTACTTACATTCAACACAAAACAATAGGTCTACCAAATTCAGCCTTATGGTGAAATTCTTGAGTGTCTTGGACTATATACATTAGTCTATGGTCAGGACCTAAAAAATGTATTGTGTCAGTCATTTTATAACACTATAACACTTGGGAAGAGAGGCCTGCTTTACCCCCAGTGCAGCCAAATTCATGTCAAATTATAATGAGTAGTGTCACAGTGTACCCAATACTTAACATAATGTGAAATATACAGATATATCTATATATAGATATATCTATATATAGAAAATACCTGCTTTCTATGATAAAATGATGTAAGATCTCCAGTGGAGAGCCCCATAGAAAAAAAAGGAGCAAGGCCTGTATTCTCATAATCACACGATTTTCACATAATCACATAACCACTCATCCAGCCATTCAATCATCACCCTCATTCATTCATGTGTTCATTCAACAAACATACATTGTGCACTCGGTCAGGTTCTGTGTCAGGTATTTTACATTTATTATTATTATTATTTTTAAAGATTTTATTTATCCATTTAATTGACAGAGAGGAGAGAGAGAGACAGCGAGAGAGGGAACACAAGCAGGGGGAGTGGGAGAGGGAGAAGCAGGCTCCCCGCCGAG